TCTGGTGCTGCTTGTTGCTGCGGCTTCTTAGCTCTGCTGCCTGCTGCTGCTGCTGCTGTTTCTTCGTGCTGCAGCCCAAGCGGAGCAGCAGCTGCTTCCAGCTGTGCTGCAGCATCAGCGAGTGCTGCTGCATCTGCTGCAGCATTGATTGCTGCTGTTTCTGCTGCAGCAGCAGCAGCTGTTGCTGCTGTTCCCGCTGCAGCAGGTGCTGAAGCTGCTGCCTCTGCTGCATCTCTAGCAGCAGATCGACCTGCCGGTGCACCACCACCACCACCACCACCACCACCACCGCCACCAGCAGCAGCAGCAGCCACAGCAGGAGCAGGAGGACCGGGGCTGCATGCATGCATGCATGCATGCATGGTGTGTATGTTGCTTAGAACCTGACGAGGTACTCCAGCAGCCCGCGCTCTGCCTTGGTGTCGCCCACTCTGCCGCAGTGGGCGAGGTAGCCGTCAGGCCTGATGAGGGAGAAGCCGCAGCTAGCTTCAGCCCCATCAGCTGCATGCGGGTCAGCTAGAGAGAGACCGAATTTGCTGCTGAGATCGTTCAGAAAGTCTACAAGTACAAAACCCCCAGCTCCCCCGCTGCTGCTGCTGCTGGCTTGCTGCAGCTGCTGCAGCAATGCAGGAGGCAGCAACTGCAGCAAAGGACGCTGCACCAAATGACACTCCTCTACCTCTCCCTTGCTGCTGCTGTCTGCACCCGAACCCATAGATCCTTGACCCTGCTGCTGCTGCTGTCCCTGCTGCTGCTGCTGTCCCTGCTGCTGCTGCTGCTGCTGCTGCTGCTGCGGGGACAGCAGCAGAGAGCGGCTCTTAGAAAAAGGCAAGCAGCGCGAGTTGCCGCGGATTATCTCTGAGGTGATGCTCGTCGATGTTGCTGTTGTATGTACAGCTGCTGGGGGCCCATGGAAGCACCAAACCACCCGCAGGTCTGAGGCCCACAGGTGTCTCTCTGCTGCTGCTGCTGCTGCTGCTGCTGCTGCTGCTGATGATGATGAAGGAGCAGAAGCAGAACCTCCAGCTGCTGCAGCACCAGGGGGGTCGTATACTGTGTGACGCCGAAATACACGTCCTCCCACACCAGGAGCTGTTCGTCCTCTTGCTGCTGCTGCTGCTGCTGCTGCTGCTGCTGCTGCTGCTGCTGCTGCTGGGGTCTCGATGCCGCGCATGCAGCCGCCTCTGGGGCTGTGAGAGGTGTTTCTTGGCTGTCTCCTCCCCGCAGTGTAGTTTTTATCATCATCTTCATATGAGTCGCTGTCGCTGCTGCTGTTACTTATGCTGCTGCTGCTGCTGCTGCTGCTGCTGCTGCGGCTGCGCCCAGCAGCAGCAAACGGGGAGTGGCCCTGCGGGGAGTCAGCAAAATCCTCAGCTGAGAAAGGGGCCCCCAGACAGGGGGCTGCTGCTGCTGCTGCTGCTGCTGCTGCTGTCCCCAGTGAGGCCTCAAGCGAACCCACCCTGTCTTTGGAGGAAGCAGCAGCAGCAGCAGCAGCAGCAGCAGAAGCAGAAGCAGCAGAAGCAGCAGAGCAAGCCCCCTTTGTTGCAGCCATCACAGCCAGCCTACACATGCGGGCCAAAGTGCTTACAGCTTCTGTATTGTAGCGCGCTGCAGCACAACACACCGCATCCACAGCAGCAGCAGCATCAGCAGCAGCAGCAGCAGCAGCAGCAGTATCCCGCTGGTTTCTTTATAGAGATAAGAGAAGCAGTGAATGCATCAGCAGCAAGAAAGAGGGCCCCTCACAGCCTCTCAGCAGCAGCAGCAGCAGCAACAGCTGCATGCATGCACGTGCATGCGTCTGTGCAGCGCTGCATGCAGCTCAGCAAGCCAACGCATGCAACAAGATATCTGCTGCTGCTGCTGCTGCTGTCACCTTGAAACTGAGCTGCTCCTGCTGCTGCGCTATAAAAACCAGCAACAGCAGCAGCATCAGTCAAAGCAGCAGCAGCAGCAGCAAGCTAAACAACAGCAGCAGCCACCCCGCATCAGCACAGAAAGCAGAAGGGGAGGCGGCAGCAGCAGCAGCAGTGGCAGCAAGAGCACTACGAGCAGCAGCAGCAGCAGCAGCAGCAGCAGCAGCAGCAGAGTGTGAAGACTAACAAACAAGCGGAGCTCCAGCAATCTCGCAGCCGAAGATATTCTGTTTGCGTGAGCCCGGCGGCAGCAGCATAACATGCAGCAGCAGCAGGTGGCGGCCCTTTCCTAATAAAGCAAATAAATAACCAACTACAGGGTCACCTGCATCAGCAGGCCACACGCGGGGCAGCTGCAGCAGCAGAGAAAGGAGACAAAAGGAGACACAAGGAGACAGTTTTGTATGAAAAATTTTATACATATACACACTGAGCTTCTATAGAGCAATATATATATATATATATATATATATATATATATATATATA